GGGCTAAGGGAGACCGGCCCAGGTCTCAAAAAGGTTGCCTGTCCCTGTACTAGTTTATTGAAGAACTGATAAACTGAAATGAATACTGGACACATCATAAAGAAATGGTTACTGGGTACACTGACTAGATTCAGACATCCATTTAACGTATAATTTAGCAAGATAAGCACAAGCCTAACCTCCTTTAGACTCATGCACTTCACCTTCTTCCTCCAAGAGGAACATTTCAGAAATTCTGCTTCTACTTTGGTTTAATCACAACTTATAATGTAAAACAATGACTAATATTAAGGGCGCAAAACATACTGCTGGAGGACAGAGAAGTCAATACTAACAATAAAGTTTATTCTGCTGATGGATGGGTGCCAGAGGATTTTATCATTAAACTTATTTTTCTATTTTCTGTTTTTCTACACGTACAGATAAAAATCCCACAAACACATTTTTCCAGATTTGCATCTTCAGAAAGCATTCATAGAGCTAGATGTGGGCATGCTGAATGCTATTTACTACTTGCGAGGACTAGAGACACTGGGACATTACAGAAAGACAGTGTTGTACGCAGCATGTTGTTCTGAACATGACATTCTTACCTATTACATTTTAGATTTGCCTTTTATAATAACCAGTAGCAGTTTCTGGTAGAATTCCTTTTATTATCAGAATTCATTAGATGTGGGGAGTTGTTTTAGGTTTTTAAAGGGAATTGATAAGGACATATATGAGGCCTAGAGCATAGTCTTTTTTGTGACTGCTGCTAAGAAAATTGGAAAAAGGAGATCAGCAGTGACATCTGTTTAAGTGCTGGTTTAAATTATATCTTCTTTCATTTTACTTCCTCAAGGCATTTGAAATTCAGTTCAAATACAATGGGTTTTATTTCAATCGTATAAGACTGTCTTCATTCTAATTTTTTAATGTTATTTCATTGCTCGTGTGTCCCATATGTACCCACATGCATCAGTGTACTTCACAGGCTTAATTAGCAGCAATATCCATAATCACAATCATTGGAAGAAGCTCTGTAACATTCACAGGAATTCTTGAGCAAAATATTCCAGAAGATCTCAAACCTAAAGATTTCAAACCTAAAATTCATGAAAAGGTGTTCAGAATAAATTTACCTTAAAAACAAGTTTCCACTGAGTCGACATACAAATGCAAAGTGCTACAGAAAAACAGAAGTGTGTATTTCCAAAGGATGGAGAAAATTAGTACACTGCTCCAGTAATCTCCAGTAATGGAGAACTAACAGCAGACAACAGACAGAGTCCCTGGATGGAGAAGAACATCAACATATTTGTTCAACCAGCTGGGGGGGGGGGGGGGGATCCAGCTGAGTATCACTAAGAAGAATCAAAATCCAGCTGTATATCCTCTAAGTCAGGGATAGGCAACCTTTCTCCTTTAAGGGCCAAGGGACTTCAGCTCCCAGAAGCCTCAGCCATGTTGGCCAATAGTTCCATGTTGGCTTATAGCTCCTGGGATTATGGGAGCTGAAGTCCCTCGGCCCTTAAAGGGGACAGGTTGCCTACCCCTGCTCTAAGTTATGACTATGAGGTCTACACCTGTCAATGGATTTCCCTTGCTGATCTGGGGTGCATATTCTTAAATGAAGAGATGTCTAAATCACAACCAATCTAAGAAAACTTGGATATATTAGAATGCAATTTTAGTTCATACCATAAACCAGCTTTGTGCCCGGCAGCTGTATTGGATTTCAACTATCATTACTTTAAGCCTACATGGCCAATAGTCAGGAATGCTGTGAACTCACATCCAAAATATTTGGAGATCTCAACATTGGGGAAGGATGCCATAGATGAGTTCATTTAAAAATCTCAAGATATAACACTTCTACTTTTTATTATCAAAACTGATCCCAACAGCATCACAACTAAAACACATGTGATTCTTTCTTTTTTTTAATCTAAAATTATTAAGTGAACACACAAAGTTATTCACCTAAATATGCAATACATTAGCTATGGAGATCGAATTACCACCGTTTTCCAAAACTTGGCATCATTATATACCCTTGTCTTCTTTTGCTCTGTTATCCAGCAACAAGACTTGTTTGAAACAGAAGACACAAGAAAGCTAAGCTGATCAAAGGAGTGTCTGTCACTAGGTGAAACTGATCAAAGCTTAATGATGGCCCTTCCACTTCAAAAGTTAATTTGTGAGAGAGTAAGGTTACAACATTAAAATGAGTTAGAATGTGTGTTTATATAGGAGCATCGTAGTAAGCTTGTGTGGTGTCTTGATACATTTTGTGTTGCTAAACATGAATTCTAGTTTTACAACAAAGAGTATGAAACTTTGATTACATTAACCTGTTTTACTTATAGACAACAATGCACATGCTTATTTATGCTGCACCAAGAGCTTAACCACCACAGTTGGCTTCCACACTCTCCCTATATTGAAGACATAGCCTGTGCACACACACACTTCCACTATGTCCACCAGTCATCCCCTCAGCAAAAAATTTAGAAATGCATTCCTTTAAATTTGGCCTCTTGTTCACAAAAACCTACATTGTAATATATTAGTTTACCTCTAAGGCCTCAAAGGATTCTTGAGGGGTTTATTTGGGGGTTTGTTTGTTTACCATAGACTTCAAGTATTTTCAAAGGATGGAGAAAATTATTACACTGCTCCAGTAATCTCCAGTAATGGAGAACTAACATGTGTATTTATTTGTGTATTTATTCCCATCTAACTATCAAAGCTTTGTTTCTGACAGAGTTTAAACATTCCTTTCCCCAAAAGACTTGAATTAAAATATCCTGCAGACTAATGTCAGTTCAGAAACAGACATCATTGAGACAACTGATAAATATTGTCTTACCAGTAGTTCTTTAAATATTTTATATCTGTTACAAACTTGTGCATAGTCTGCACAAGCTATTACCTATATCTGCCATCTACATGTAACCAAATACACACATAAACACCAGAAAATGAAGCTTCATTGTCTTCTGAGGGATTTCTTCTCAGTGTTAGACATTCAAAACATAAAGGTTAAAAAGTCAACTTCAAATATCCCATGCTGTTTTATGACCAAGGCAGGAGAGAACAAAGGATGAGGCAGGAATTCAGGGAACATGAGACTTAATTTGAGGATGAACAGAAAGCCACTGTGGCATAGTGGTTTGATTCTCGGACTACAACTCTGGAGAGACCGTGGTTTGATTCTCAGCTTGGCCATGAAACCCACTGGATGGCTATGGGCAAGTCACATGCTCTCAGCCTCAGGGGAAGGCCACGGCAAACTCCTCTGAACAAATCTTGACTAGAAAACTCCATCATAGGTTTGCCTTAGGTTCGCCATAAGTGAGAAAAGGCACACAACAACAATCCCTTATAA